ATTATTGTAAAACAAGTTGTTAACAAATATGTTTCCATCATCTGTTCTATACATTGTTGTAATACTTCAATAAAACTTTAAATTATCACTTCCAATTGATTGGAGAGTGTGAAACTCGATGACATGAAAGTAATTTTTGTTTACAATCAAATATAATGTTCATGAACTGTGTCTGGTGTTCGAACTATTGACATAACTTGCCCCAATTTTCCTTTAATCATTTTTATTCTTGTATATTTAAACATTTAAAAGTTACATAACAAATATACACAAAAAATAAATTCAGTTTTTTGAATGACGCTAAACATTTTAAATATTTAAAATATTTTTTTATACCATGGAACATTACTTGAAGAGAATTGTTAATAATTATGTTTAACATTCATCATAAATCTTCGAACTGAGACTTTTCAATGTTAAATCGTTTGATAACATCTTTATACTTTAACTGATTTATGTTTTATTATTATTATTTCAGAACAATATTCTATGACATAAAGTATGTATGCCATAATGACACCCTTCACATATTCTGTAAGACATTTACTAATCTTCCGAAGACTTCGCATTTCGTTTTACTGTTTGTTAGATGACATTATAGATAATAATATTAATAGTCAGTCTACAAGAGCTGCTCACTAACACAGCTTCGGTGTAATCGGACCTCAATTAATGACAAAATCGTGCAAAATGGTCTCAATCCTCTTATCGTTATGATGACCCTAGTGTGTAGAATAAATTACAAACATAACTTGTAATGTAAAGCTATTCCGCTCGATTGCGTTCCTAAATACTAAGCGCGATGGTTAATGTAGCCATTGGAATAAATTAACTGAATATAAACTGTAATTGATACTAATTAAATAGATTTTACTTTGATTTTTAGGTACAATTATATTGGATTACGTTTGTGGAGTTGTTTCTTACGAGTTATTTAAAAAAACTCTAAAACATATTGCATCCAACTTTTAAGGAAATAAGATTTTTGAAGGCTTTAAATTTCCGTGGTGTGTTATTTTCTAGAAAGAACTTTGTCCGTTATATTGGTCCCGTGGTCTGTGCTAACTATCATAACTTGAAGATAATACAATCCACATACATTTCCTTCAAAAGTATTGTGTGTGTGTGTGTGTATTTATTAATGTTTACTAGTGATTAAAGTCTGTGTTCTCCTCTTGCAAATAACACCAAATGACGTGAGAGATATTTAAATATAAATGAAGTTCATAATGACAAAACGCGACACTGTTTATAACGAGGAACTGGCTGCGGACAAATGTTCAACTGTTTAACGATTCGACAACACGCGGCATTAATTTTACTTTTTCTTAATTCTCTTTGTACACGATTACAACGCAATAATTTTAGGTTTATTATTAAACCAGATTTAATCTCTTATTAAATAGAGTAATCGATAGTTCATTTTACAGTGAAATAAACTCGTCTTATTAAAGAAACAATTGTGATCTTTGAGGACATTTCAATTGTAAATTAAAAAGCTACTACTTATACATACAAACAACTGATACAAAGATTTAGTCTTCTTCAAGTGATGAATAGATTTTTTTATTTTTTATTTAAATTAAGGTCATAATTAAAACTTTATCTTTCATAATTATTAAAGTTTTTCACAACTTTATTACTATTGATAACAGTTGATGGTGTTTTTTTTCAATAATAATATAAAAAGTATGATATTTTCTATTTAAGGCCTACGAGTTGTTCGAGTACTTTCATGACTCATAGAGGTATGAAGAAAACTGTCAAAAACTTAGCTAAAAATATTGAATAAAAAATGCTTATGTATTAGGGTACTATCATGTGTTACCTCTTCGACATTCCTTTCTTAAATGAATTCACAATATTTTTATAATGTGTTTTTTGAAGGTATATCAAACCCATGTTTACTCGTGGTATGGCATGATTGTTCATGCCTTTATAAGAAAAAAAGCAACATATAGTTAAAAAGGAAAGCTCACAGTAGAAACTGCTATGCCGTTCACGTGATCCAATTAGTTGAACTTTCTAGAATTAACATAACATGTAACAATTATTAAAGATTTTTATGGTTCTAAAAAGTAAAACCTTTCGAAGTTCATGAACATCTGGTCTTATCTTGTGTTTAATATAGTTATTAGAAAATCTTAAGTCAATCATACGTGTCTATGAAACATACAGATGTTCTTCACCGCTTGTATCATCTCTCCGTTAATATCCCAAGTCCTGTTGTCAGATTTGAGAGATTGTACATAATATTACTTTTAGGTCTTTGAATAGTTAGTGGATATAAACTATAATTACTTGTGGATATAAAATATAATTTAGATTTACATTTTAATCCAATAGGTATTTATTTGCGTCAAAAAATCAATTAATTAAAACATATTCAAAAGCTATTGCTTTATACTTTCCAGCAACAGTAATATAATGTATAAGAACACCGTGGCATTTAAACAGAAACATACGAGTATAGAAGTTGTTAAAAGGTCTACTCATTGGTTTTTCAATAACGTAATTTAATAATTTTCCTGTAGGATTTATTTTTAAAGAATATAATTATTTCTCTATTCTCGTCATATAAGCGGTGTGTAGTAGATCATTTTATACGGATTAAATTTATGATTAAAGAATTAAATTCAAAATTTACTTTTATATAAAAAGGTAACTATTATCTTTCAAAATGATTTTTTTTTTATTTATTATAATCATGAATCATCATTTAGATTACAAGGCAGTAGGAACTCTAACTTTGACTGAGTCCATAAAATTTGTATATATACATAATATGTACTAGATCATCAATTGTATAAATATAACAAGTTTTTTTAATCAGTTTTCCCTACTTAGTTCCTTTTCCGCTGTATTCAAAACTATTTCAGTCTACTAGTCTTTGAGTTTATTTCGTATCAAGTAACGGTCGTCTATTCATTGGAGAAGTTTCTTTGTAAGTTCTAGCCGTCACGTGAAATCTTATAAAAAATCCATGAAGTTTTAGGGATTTAAATAAACAACATACCTATACTTTTATTACTGGTCATAATAATTCTATATAAAAATCTCCGTTGGAACTTAATTCGGGATGACGACAGACACTTGTAACAAAAAATAATTAATTAACTAGAAAGAGATACGATACTGATCAGTAAAATAAAGATGAATAATGATGAATAAAAACAAAATAACCAAAACAATAAAAATATAAAACAATTCATCATTAATTAAATACTTGACAATTGTTAGAGAGATTATTTACAGTTTGTTTGGCGCAAACTTAAAAATAATTAATTAATTAACTATTATTCTTTGAATAATTTAAACAAAAATTGCTATTAATTTTATGAAAGTAGGTTTAAATCACACTTTTCAGTTTTCTTTTCTTATACAGGGTGACTGGTGAATTACTATCAATATTTAAGGAGCATACTCGGTACATGATTCTCATTCGAATTATGTAAAAAAAATAGGTACTTAATTTTTGACAAAATTTCCGTATAAATAAGTAAAGTGTTGACACGTTCCAAGTGTTCAAATGTGGACGCGTGCGGCGACGTGTTGATACAACACCACGTCACGACATGCGTATGTGTGAGTGTCAGTGTATACCTAATCTGTAGGGTGTTCACACGATGCGTAATTAATTACATAACTTTTGGTTAACTTTACTTAGAAGTTTATTAATATTTATGTTATATTAATTTTTATTTTGTCATATATGATCGTCAAATATCACGTCCTCAAATATCGATAGTAATTCACCAGTCACCCTGTATATTTTTTTCACATATTCATGTTTAATGTTAGGGTCATCAAGTATGATAAAGAAAATAAAAAATACTTAAAACGAAAGTGTTTAAGTTTTTTAAACTTCTTTTTATTTTTGTATAGACTCACGTTCAAAATCAATTCTGGATCTATATTTATTCATTTTGTTTGAATAAAACTTTTAATTTCGAAATTACTACGCGTTGTTTTTTTATTTTAAAATAACGTACTCTTGAAGTTTCAGTTCCTTCGCAGAAGCCATGATCACAGGCAGACGATATGAAAATTTTCAACTGCCAATGAAAACGTTTTGTTTTTAAATGAGATCGTTAGTGATAACTAAAATATAATCTTTAGCTAAATATTGAATAAAGTTATACTTATTAAGTATTAGTGGATCTCTAATACACTATCTCGTTATTCTTAAAATCTCTTTATATTCTAGGCTTTCTGTGCGCCTGATATATTATTATAGTGTCACATTTTCTTTTTATGTTTGAGTTGTTATAAAAGATATTTACCCAGTATTTAAAAGACTCGTAGAAGTTTCTAGAAAGGAAAGGAGTTTAATGAATTTATTACGAAAAGAAATATGTTATTGGAGCATTATTTAATTATACAATAAGGCGACGTATAAATATACATTTAACTTGAATACTTTACCTCAGTTGGTAATCAAACTAATGTGATGCGAAAAATCTGTTTAACATTAAGGTCCATCTAAATCGGATTACAGACGACAAGTACGAGGCAGCGGACTGAGTCCAGAGTAAGCTCCTTAAGGAAACTCAATCTATAATCGAGTCAAGGTTTCCATTATAACTAGTCTCGTTACTTTTTCTAATAATTTAAAATGTTGATTTTGTCCAAATATAGCATCTGTGAACTCTTAAAAAAATATGTATAGTTTTGTCTACTCTGCCTGGGGTCACAGGAACTGTAAAGTAGCCAAAGCCTTGGGATTATGTAGTTACAAAATAATAAAAAACTCGAAGTACCCTAACACCTTAGTTGCATATAAATATACATATATATATCCATATAATAATTAACATTTTAATATGTGTTGCTTTCAAAATGTCTGAGGAGTTATAATATACATATTTTCTATAACATTTTGGCAGTTTTTAAATTCTTTCAAATTTTGAACGTAGAATAAATGTATGACTTTCAATATATGACTTTTCTTATTTCACAGAATATTATTTTTAATTTTTTTTGAAGATAAATTTATAATAATGGATAGTAATGAAAGTAAAAGTCTCGATACTGAATATAAACGTTACTTGGAAATCATGAGGCCTTACGTCGCTCAATTATTGGATCAGGAAGTTATTCAAATTTGTAATTCGTGGATTCAAAGACTTTCAAGTTGTAGTGAAAACGAAAAAGTGTTACGAAATAAATATATCTTCTCTCTTTGTTATCAACTAGCACGGGGAGTGTTAGATGAACCATTTATCAACATTCCAAAGTCTAAAGAAACACCGCTTTGTCCTTTACCGGAAGACACATATAGTGTCGAGTCAACAGAAGTGGAATGTCTGGTCTTAGACTTGGACAATACAAACACAAAAATTCTTTATAATAATCAAAATAACATTAATTCAGCCACAGCAAATTTTTCTCTGAATAGTGACTATTTCACGGAGCAAAGCAAAAATGAATTTTTAAGTGAGAGTAATAAGTCTATTATTTCGAGACACTGTGAAGAAGAACCAATATGCAAACAAAACGTGCTGTGCTATAACTGTCCCAAAATGACACCGAAATATAACACCGATGAAAGTATTTATCAATACAGGGCAAATAATCTCATACAGAAACTCAGAGAAATAAAAAAGCAAAATGTATTGCTTCATAACGAGTTGGAAAATTTAAAAGATTCAAAGCAACGTAATTTGATTGATGACTCTCGCGACGATATTCTTAAAGTAGATCAATCAACGAGTTCCTATTTGCAATGCCATGAAAGTACCACAACAATAAAAACTCTAAAAGAAAAACTGCACGAAGTCCAGGAAGAGAGAAATAACCTTATAGAAACAATAAGTATTTTACAAGATAAGCTTGATAACATTACTGAAATGAATAATCATGAAAAAGAGACTTTGGAAGCCAAATATAAACTAGACATTATAAAACTTAAGACTGAAATACGTGAAGAGGTAAAAAGTTATTACGATAAAAAATTGGCAGACGTTAGGGATCAATATGAAGAAAGGATAAAAATTATGAAAGAAGACAATTTTAAGGAATTGGAGAAACTTGAAAAAAGTAAGGAATCTATTATTGCTGAAAAAGATAAAATAATAAAAGACAAAGATACCGAGATAAACCAATTACTTACTTGCATTGAAAATCTAAAACATAATCAAATGTCGTTGTTACAAAAGTTTATAGAAAGTCCTCCTGAAGACACTGAAGCATACCATTTAAAAACAAAAACTGATGAATTAACTAAACGTTTAACCAAAATAGAAAAATCTAAATTTCGTTCGTCCAAAGCTTATGAAGCAAAGATAACGAATTTGCAGAAAGAAAAACATTTAGGCGAATGCTCTTTACAGTTGCAACTACTGAAACAAAGAGCACAATTAGTCGGCGAGTACGCTGAAGAACACCAGAATGAACTCTCCACTGCATTAGACAAACTTGAAAATAAATATAAAGAAATAGTAGCCAACGTACAAGCAACCGCAGTACAACGAAGAATTCAAGACCAAATGGCGTTAGAATCAATAATACAGGCTGTCTGCGGCATAAGAAACGAAGGCATGTTTATGAACAATACACAAACAACTTTTTCAAGCCAAATGACCAGTAAACCTAAACGTAACCCAACGAGGGATGGAGATCAATGTGGCGACAACGAAGCGACCAGACTGTGTCGAGAGAGAGAGAACAGAGTCGGGAGTGTGATTGTTGGAAATAAATCGTATGTTGAAGAGAGCTCCGTCGGCGGATACGACCTGGATAATGATAAACTAGGAGTGTTCTTTGAGAGAGTTCATATACCACAGAGAGACACGGGTGAGAATGACGACAAAAAAATAAATTTGAAAACTACTTAGATAGTATTCAAATATATATATGCAAAGTATGTTCTACACAACAATAAATAATAATTCAAATGCAAACTTTTATAAGAAATATATTTAAAAATTTATTTATTTATTTGATTGAGACACACTGTAAATACCCAACACTTATTATTATTAATTACAATAAGTAATTTTTCTTCACAATGAATTCCATCTTTTAGTTTTCAGCATCATACTGCACATATTTGCACGAACAACATGTGATACAATTTTAAACATTTTATCTGAGCAACGTTTTTGATTTATTTTATCTTAGTGTTTTATCAAGAAAGAGTTTTCTGAATTACCGCTTCGCCCTAAAAATTATGCGGAGAGATAGGAAATAGAATTATTCGCCGTTTTCATTTGAGATAAATATGAAATATTACTACAGAAGGACATTATAAGACGAGGAGGGTTGCATAGAATATTAGCATGAAGATGTATTTTTTGTGAAATTTCAAAATGTGGTTTCTTTGACATAGTATGAAAGAGATTAGATTGCAATTCAATGCATATTTTGTAAGCAAAATAATTTGTACTTTTTAATTTCGCCAAGTGACTAATTTTATCGTTATTATTATTTTAATCTTGTGAAATTATTTAATTTATGAACTTCTCACATAAGTTGCATAATTTTATTTTTGATAAAATATATTACTTTTTATTGTTTTTTTCTAGATATTTTTACTTATTAATTTATCATTAAAGTTATAAACACTTTCTGTAGAATAATTCAAACACTTACATATCTTTTTTCTCTCGAGTAAGCTTTGACAAAACCATTAGGGCTAACAGCTACAGTCAAGTCGAAACTAAAAAAAAGACATGTTTTATAACAACTGTTTTGAAATAATTATATATAGCTGTTAAGAGTCGCTATCAACAGGCTTTAAACACAAAAACATGGGACGTGTTATATTTGTCCTAACAGCCAGTTTCCTGTAACTACTACCAGCTACTGCCGAAGTAACAGTGCAACAATATTATGAAAACTAAAATATAACGAACGAAGTATAATTTTTTATACAACAATCAATTATTCCAGGCTTTATATAAACAGTTTTTTTTATTCAAATATATCTTACATAAAATAGTGATCTATTATAATATTTTATTTATTATTTTATATAAAAACATTTTTATTCAAACATATATTATATAAAATAGTAATCTAGTAATATTTTATTTGTATTAGAAACGACCCCTCTACAAATATTATTTCAAGCTCCATACAAACTCGTATCTTAACCACTACTGTTACAATGATGCTCTTTACTCTAGAAACTTACCTGGGAAAGGTTATTGACGAATCAAAACAAATCTCGTATGGTATCTAAGACTTTGAGGACAATTTTAACTAGCCCTTAATAAGTTTGTTGTGTTGAATTATTTAACAGTATTTTTTGCCATACTTGCTTGTTGAACATTTTATAAGTGAAAGGTCAACTGTGTATAAACTACGAGTATATGTATTGCTATGTACGGCTATTTAAACATTTCGATTGTGTCAAATTTTATTTCTGTGAACAATAAATCCATTCGTTAGTTTTCCTTTGAAAACATATCAGGAATTTTTTACGTGGTACTCTAACCTTTTAACCTAAACCTTTATTATACACAAAAGCGCCTTGTAATATTTTATAGCAATTTATGAGATCGTCTAAATTGCTCAGATCATCTATTAATTGCCGTATAAATTGAACTGTCTTATACATATCGCACCGCTTTCCTTTGTCTTAGTAGAATGAAATACTGTTATAGCCCGTGGACTGTACCGTACAAACGATTATTTTTATATGCAAATTACTGCTCAGACTTACGTTCACGTAAAAATATAGTTGACAATATTGTTTGAGCAAAAAAAGCTCGACAGCTAATCTATTTTAAGCCGCTCCATAGTACATTTATTAAACATCATAACTGTCACTGTTATAAAAATCATCAATTGTAAGTTATTAATGGCGTGTCACTGATGGATACCAAAAAAATAAAAACGACAATGACTACCACGTTATCAATTTTGCTTTCGATCGACCTTGATCAAGATTATTTTATTTCTCCCATAGAAAGATGAGTCAGTCAGGGACACCTATATGTCCGTTCGTATATCAGTATTACTCAAATAAATTAATAGTAAAGTAGCAATTATCATTCCGAAACAATAAAAAACTTTTAGAATTAAAAGTGTGTTTTTCTGTTTTGTCATTTGAAGGAAAATATTTATCCTAATACAGATATGTTCAACCAAGGTATGGGACTTACTCAACTGACAAGCTCACTTTACACGGTTTCGCAAATTAAGTTAATCATGTTTTGATATCAGAAGTATTTTGCTCATTCATATACAAACTGCTATGTATTTGTTCATTTATAAACTGTTCGGCTAGACTTATATTTTTCATCAAAATAGAAAATGCATAAACCTAAAAATTGAGACATATAATTTTAAGTAAATTAATTCGAAATTTTTGGATCAAAATTTTACACGCACAAATATGTATGAAATTCGAATAACAGATGAAAATCCTTATCGAGGAAAAAAATACTAGTTTTTGAATACGTTTCCCTGTTCTAAGAATAAAAAGTTGATTTTTAAATCAGCGATCTAAAAAAGCGCTTGAAGTTAAATAAAACTACAGAACTTTAGTAACCGTACAAAATGTTACATACTAAGGAATTTGACTGGAACGGGGTTTTGAGAAATTCAAAACATATTTCTGAAATTCATGCAAGATGCCTTAAGTTTATCGATCCCTTTAGATTGTTTATCGTTGAAACTGGGCTGTTGCCACCGGTGTGGTATAAAAAAAAAATTAATCTGTGAGTTTGTTATATGAAAACAGCAACTATGCTCATATTACGAAGTTACATAAACTCAATTTAGTTTCCGCAATCAGAAGGCAGTTTCATTAAATGTTTTCCGTTTCATATTATAAAAATTGAGCTGTGTACTCCACCTGTCTTTGTTTAAAGTTTGATTTAGTTATAAATCTTGTCACTCTCCATCACGGGTATCAAGTCTCGAGGAATACGTGTTATTTACTAAGACAGTCGATCAGTTCACAGACTTTAAAAAACTTTTAAATGTCCATTTTTGTTCACAGCTGGAGTTAATTTCTTTGAAGATAACCAGATACACAGTTACGGTTTATCCCATCAATTGAAATAATTTCTTTATATAAACGCATGCTAAAAGTAAATTGAATCTCCTTAGCTCATGTTATATGCAAACTTATATTCGTCGAGTCGAATTCTATGTCCCGAACAGTAACTTTTATATGAATCAGACCTCATAATTATATTAAAGGTAACTTGTTGATATTTTAATAAAACAAATACCATTACTATTAAATAGTATAGAAAATTATTTACTACGTTTCTGTACTGAAGAACTTTACTGTTACAGTTGGAAGAGTTGATATTTCTGTCAACTACTTCATAACTATAAATGTGCCACGATGGATATTTGGTACAAAACCGTAAAAAAAACACCTTAACAAAGTTCACTCCGGATCAATAGCGGCTTAAGTAGATGAGAGATAAAAATCACATTAAAGATTCGTTAAGGAGACCTTTTTTTAAATAAATTAGTATTATCGATATAAGAGCTATTTATGCTCAATGTGTTGTGATTAAAAATGTTCATCAAATAATTATGGAATATGTTAGTAATGAGTCATATAGATTACAAATAAATATTTAGTCAATAATAATTATTATTGTGTATGCAGTTCGAGTAGGACGAGTATCCTGTAAGAAGATCAATAACATATTCATTAAGTGTTTTGACAATGACACATTCGAGACTTGTTGTAACTTATTGTTATATGAAAATGTTTAACTAAAAAATATAATGTAATACAACTACAATGTTGTACCTGCAAATGGCTTTTAGTTTTTATTGATAAAAATATTATTACAAAACAGATTTTTTATAGATCTTTGATGGTTCAAATCAAAAGGAAAATGTATTTTTATTCATATCAAGTTGAGTTTTACTGAAAACAATAACGAGGAATAACATAACTTTCTCTCCATTCAAAGTTGTGAGTGGGCCGAGATGATGGATCTGCTATTTAAAAATTGAATATTTCACTTAAATTAACAAATTTTGTAAGTTTTATAACACTACTACTAATAAATAATTATTATCTGATGGTTTGATACTCTAAAATAGTAAAAAAAAGATTCACGATAGAAAATAAGGCTTCTAATTATGTAAGGTAAAGAATTTTTGGTTTTGTTTTACTTGTAATCTCACTATTTTTATAAAATCTGTGGGTAATAAACATGATTACATTGAAGGTACTTTAAACTTTAATACGTTAAACATGGTTCCGTTGAAAAGTTTTCTTATTATATTTTCTATTTTTTTTCTATAATTTCTCTCATATACTATTTTTCAATCAATATCGTATCAGCTAGCATCGAGAACCATTTTCACAAACCCAGTGACGTTTTATTATTATAAGTTCTGTTGTTAACTACATATATGTACACTCTCCTCTCCGTCCGCTCGCTCGCGGCTCACTGGCTAGTCGCCAACATGATAATTTATTGCTGGCATTTAATGGATTCAAGTCATTAAAGACCGAGATATTTATTAGAGTGACTGAGATTTTGTTTTGAAAAAAAGTAAATAATAACTTAATGCAATACTGTAACTGTAACTTTTATTAAATTATTAATAGAAGTATGTATAATATTGCATATATGTATTAAATAATATATTAAAATAATATATTGACATTAGTACAATTAAGATATGTCGCAACAATGATCAGTAACTTATCAAAATTTATTACTCTATTACATATTCAGATAGATTTTTGTACATTACTCCCAAAACAAGTTCACCACTTTTACGGTAACACAAAGAAAATTTGACAAACAAGTTTTTTTCCAATGTCTTTACGATATAATTTTGAAGCTTATTGAAGCGACATCCAGAATTCATTATATTTAAACCAAAATTTAGGTTCAGAAATAAGTTTTCATGTAACAGAGATGCTTTGGCCGAAATGCTATCCAAATCTTCTGGCTGCTAGCCAAATTAATCTCAGAACAGGGCACTTAAACTTTCATCAATCCATACTTTAACAATTAGATTTATTCACCATTTATTTTTTTTTCAGTATTTTTAATTGAGTAGAGTATCTATCCATTTACTCGTTATAATCTCTCGATTCATTTATCGACCCTCTGTTATTATTCTGTCTCATGTAATCGCATGTTCCCCATCAAACGATCTCAGCGGGAATGTCAAGAGCGATGTTACATTTTTACGTCCTGTTTGTATTCCCCGCGTTCATTAAAGCCTTCCGACATCATTATTCGACTCGGGCGTTGGGACCCCTCGCAATCATCCTCCTGACTGGGACGAGCGAAGTATGGACCTCCTGTTACTGACATTATTTAAATATTCCTAAAAGATAAAATCGTATCTTAAAATATATGAAGTACAGTAAGATCGTATATCACAACTCGTTAAGATACAGTAGCTCTATATTTTGTACTACTTCATAATAATCTAATCCAACATAAAATGTCCTTTGGGTCATCTTGTCATATTCATTGTTTTATGACCAGACCAGAATGTTTCTAGAGTTGTGTATCGTCTTTACCGAGGGGTCCCGCGACCTCAGCGACGACCTCAACGTGGCATTAAACATTGAAATGAATCGCAATGACCTTCAGAGGAATATATCTCGGGACTCTGTAGAAAAAACTAATGTTTTGTAATAGATATACTCGTATTAAACAATATTGATATTACTTTTGTATTTCTTATTCTAATACTCTATGACTGCAAAATTTTTTTACAGCTACCGGATGTTTTGCTATGAAATAGCAATTTTTGTAATTATTGCTGACGCTATTGTTATTTTTTACAAAATCTTAGATAGTTCTTGAATCTTGACTTTAATTACACGCCATGGTACGTCAAAATAAAGTCTATCTCAGAAAAAATCCATAAACTCTTACTTTAAAACCACTAGAATTATACATAATTGGAAGTAATACAGATACAGACAAACTGTTTCACTATGATTACTGTGAACATGAAGATTAAGAAAACGTATCGTAAGGACGGGAAAGATACGAACAAAAAGAAAACTCATCTGTGAGTCTGGCGAACCGATTTTTAAAAGAGAACGAATGAGTTAAATCGTGCAGTTCCTACACAAGTATACAAAATTTTACAGGATACATCCTGTAAATCACCCAGAGGCTGGGTACATTAATTTTGATCAAATCGATATCACTATTATTTCTTTTTTCTATCTTTAATAAACTTCGAAGCTGTAAAATGACGTTTGACATGAATGTGACAACAGTATTCCACAAAATACTCAATCTCTCCCATAATTATTTGTGTTATTGTACAAGAATATTCGCAGATGACTGATTTCAAAGCAAGCCTCAAGCCTGAAGCCTCAAGGGACATTTAATTTTTTAGGTTATTTTTTCTATGACGTACCAAAATATGGAGCTCTAACGTACCAAGGTACCAAGGAGGTACCGAAGTTTAGACAGACAATGCCACTCATTATAGAGAGGCGATACATACACGTCAAAACAGGGACAACTGTGCACATGTTTTTGGCACTTAAATTGGAATACAATTAGGGCTACTAGATTTGTTCAAGTAGAGTGAAAAGGGAAGCTTAACATAAAAATAGCATATAAAGCCATATATTACAATTAAAACACAATATAATGACATTATATCGTTATAACTGTAATTTACTATAATGTAAGAGATAAAACAATCGAAAACGCTATAAATCTAAATACATATTTTTTATTGTCTCCTCTAACAAAGTTACCTCTCGATAGTCTATGAACAAGTTTTTTCTAAATCATCTTTTATTTCCGAGTGTATGTATGGTATAGTATGGTTAGTTGACTCCACTTAGCGTCATCAAACATGTCTGACAATCGTATGGGATGCTTTACATTAGTCAGTATATATGTACATAAATAATATTCGTTACTAGCTACATGCTCTCTGACATTTATTTTATTTTATTATTATTTTTTTTATTTGGGAAACAAACAATTTAGAAACATTGTAATATAAAAATAAAAATAACAAAAAACATAAATCAATCAAGTTTCCACTTAAAGCAAATACAATATGTGGTACAGGTTGTCTTTTTATACAGATTATTTTAAACTTTTTCAAAATCAAATCAAATCATCAGCCTATCAGAGCCCACTGCTGAGCAAAGGCCTCTTTCTCACATGGAGAAGGTTTGAGCATTAATCACCACGCTTGCTCAAGACGGGTTGGTGATTTCAAACTTATAATTGTGAAATCATAAGTAAGGTTTCCTCACGATGTTTTCCTTCACCGTCTTTTATTAGTGTCTAAATACTCTTAGAAAGTACATATGACTCGGAAAAATCACATTGGTACTTGCCCGGGCCAGGATCGAACCCGCGTCCTCGTGCACGAGCGGCGGGCCCTTTAACCACTACTACTTTTACTTTAACTATTTATTATTCCTTAATTATATTCGAATTTAAAAAAAAAAATTAATGAGGCATAAATGAATTGCAATATAAAGCGTGCAATCAAATTTGAAAACCAACAAAATCAAAAAATTTAAGGGAAACTAATATAATAGCTGAGATTATTACTTGTAAAATGAGTTGATTTTTTATAAACATAAATGTTATTATGAAAAGAATTTCTCAAATATTGTCTCAAGAACGAGCTGTGAGGAGCTCAAGTTTGTGTTATTAATGAAACAAACTTGACTGACAAAAATGAAATATTCCAACAGACAAGATCAACAACTTTAACGCTTCATACAAACATACTACATACATTCTTCATTTACCTACTTTCATAAACTTCGCTTTAAACACTATAATGACGTTATTTTGAAGGACAAACTCAATCCAAAAATATGTCTTGAAACTTAATTGGTCCTTCACAAGTGCTCGAGACATTTATAACATTATTTTCAAACATTATAATAACGTATGTCTATTTCTTATTTTCAATTATTCATATTTCATGGTGTTCTCAAATGTGATAAAAACTATAAAATAATACATATCTGACTTATTCATATTACTTATTACTTTAATATTTTAATAACCTTTAAAAGAAATAGAATATTGAAATATATTTGTATATTAATATTCTACTTATTTTGTCTCATCTATTATTTTTCCGTCTTTAATATACATATTGTATGTATATATTCAACACTAAATAATTTCAACAAACATTATTCCTTTAACAGATTTGCAGATATCATTAACTGTTTTACAGATATTATATCATAATCCACTTTTAATAAAAGACTTATTACTAAATTATCAAAACTTTGAGATTTTTAAGAAGTAACTTAAATATCTAACTATTTAATGATATTATTATCATTTTATTAAATTTGGATTTATAAATGTAAAGATTCGTTGCGATCTCTTCAATACTTATCTTAAGTAACCTAACAAATAAAAAAAAAGGCATAATATGTTTTTCAACATTGCATTTATTTTTTTGTACTATACATTAAAGTGTATGCGAGAAATACAAATACATACCTATTGTGAGACTCTGTTACTGTAGTAAAACTTAAAACAATATTTTTTTGTAAATTTGTCTTCGAGTCGGTGCGTTTGTAAGCATTTATTTCATAATCGGAAAATTTCTTATTGCTATTTTGCCATCTCGTACAACTTTCGAAACCATTTCCTTCATATATATATATATACATATATGTATCTACTGGTATGTGAACTGACATCAGTTATATAATACATATTTGTTACTTATGTTTACTTAGTTTCTATCATAATTTTAAAAATTATTTCTATCATAAAAATAAAACATTTTAGTAATATCGGTTTAGTGGCTTTCTTGAGCAACGAATATAAACGTATGCGAAGTCATAGTAACTACTTACGAGTCCATATTTGTCTTCGTTCGCCCTCGTTCGTCCTTGCTCGTCCCTGCTCATCCCTGTTCGTCCCTGCTCGTCGCTGCTCATCCTCTCTCTTCTTCTACAATCCTCACTAGCCGTCCCTCGTCCCCGTTCGTACTCTTTAAATCCCATCTGTTGCGTGTGTTTGTTTACATTTCGTTGAGTTTACTGTGGAATTTACTAGAACTTTCCTTACAATCTAAATTCAACTTTAATTTGAAGGCATTACATTATAATTTCCTTAAACCTCGCCTTCTATTTACCAGTTTTGAAACAGTACCTATTAGAAAATAGGAGTTCTCATCGCTTCTACGTGTGGAGTAATGTGAGTTTTGAGGCTATGAGATTATGATTCATTTTTGTTTAAAAGTTCAATTTAAATTACGTGTCAAGTAAAACAGGTTGAGTTAGGTGCGAGTACCGACAGCAGGGAAAAGTCCAACAAAGTTTAGTATCGATGGTTCAGTTATTTAAACTAATAACTTTCAAAGGGATTAATGCTGTCAATAACCTAATTTAATTATAACCAAATGTATAGGTGTGTGTGTTGTGTAAGTGACTGAATGAGTATATGTATTAAATTATTTCAAAGTTTGAAGCTAAAATATAAAATTTTGATTTAAATAAGATTTCATATTTAAATATCCCTTTATATTATTCTAACCTTGTCTAAATAAAATTACATACATATTATTATAATTCACAAAGTATTCCTTTCTTGTTATTCTAGATATAAGCTTTTAATGCTACTTATTACCTACAAGATTATTGTGTCAAGTTCATGGAGTTTTGTAAGAATTTTACTGTTTACATTTGTACTATTTAAGTTTCTGATTAAAGAAACACAAATAGTAATAGTTGATTCATTCACAATAAATTAAAATACTTACATTATTGTTTAATTCAACTTATATTACCTGTCTTTGAGGAGGGAGAATTTGTTAAAATTGCTTTCCACCCCACAATATGTTATTCCACAGAATGTCTTTCCATACCTCTATTCGCTAATTTTATTGCAAAGAGCGTATTTATGTATATTAAGAAACTGAGTCTGTTATAAGTCTCCGGTTAGCAAAAATATTTCTTCCTCTTTCCTACAAGTGACGATCGGGTTACGTGATATTATATAATGTCGATGGTGATTCGTTCATGTTGTCCACATCAATTAAAATTTATTAAATTTGATTTCGTACAAATGCCATCACCTTCAGATAGATTACTGCAACAACAGGCCATCCTTACATTATTGGAAGACGCTTATATTTATATTATCTTGATATACTTCCTTAAATTAGTATTCGGTTGTTATCCTCCAATCTTCATGTATCTGAATAACAACATGACTTAGTTCCATTAATAATGAACAATTAATGAAAATATATCGAGGATCTCCTGCACTCTCTCTTGGAGCTTTAGATCATTGTGTTTTTATAAAGATTCATTGATAGACGAAGTATTTGTATTGTGTTCTTAGTATTCGTCATAAGAAAGTGACTTGTAACGCTGGTCTTCTTACTGTTTACTGTGTTATGTACGTTTAAGACCTACTTGAGATTATATATAATTATTATTAGTCAATGATCCCAGTTATTATTGAAACAGTTTGAAATTTAATATTTAACTATGATGAAACAAATATTCCCTTACTAAATCTCGGTACAAGACTTACATTCATCGATACAGGACCATGTGTAGAATTTAAGTTATGGTAATTAAAAATAGTCAATAAGTGCTCAAGAAAAGCCACCATCAGAGACCACTGGCGACGCGTTGTGAAGCGTGCCACCACACATCATGATGACCACGACCGTTCTGCCAAGAACGTACCGACTTAGAAGAAGAAAGAAGAAATTAAAAATAATTAAAGTTTCCCAGTCTATGAAACCAACATATTTTTTTAAGGTTTTTTAATTTTTCGAATCTATGTTTACATTGAAAAGAATTACTGACAACCTTTTTGTTTGTACGTTCGTCGTTCAGTTGTACAGTACATTGTTAGACGGAAAGACCAACCTACATTATTTATACAACTTATTTTGTTTCTCTTATGACGCGTCCTGTTCAGTTTAAGAATCATTGAGGTAAATGAACCTTCAGAGGTCAAGGTAATGAGGCAAATATAATTATTATTAATTTATAAAATTATAAAATAATTCCATGTAATGTCCTGTACCTAACATTGCACAAAATCCTTATTGTAATTAATTTAACGAGTACTAATTTAATAATTATAATTATCGTAATAAAAACCAATTACAACCCAAAGTGTGATTTACACATTTACTCATACTACTAGTAGCCAATAATATATTTTAATTAACGTGAATTTTGAATGTTTCTTTGAAAATAAAGCGAAGATTTCCGTGATAACTTAAATAAGAGTCGAACTATTAATATTTAAAAATTATTCTGATCCCTTTATTTATGTTGTAAATAAATTAAAACCTAAATTTTATTCCAGTTCGCGATATTTGAACATCACTTGTTTACGGATCTCTAATATGTCTAAGGATGACCTACAACTGAATGATTTTGCTAACGGTACACACACACTAGCACAGACAGGCACACACACACACACACACACACACACATATAAATACACACCACAGTTATAGTCGTGTGCCTTCAAGTAGCTCTTGCAGGGGTCTGTAATCTTGTAAATGGAGCGTCATACCAATATTTTTATTGTATTGTAATATTCATTATATACTAATAAATAATAAAAAGGATTTAGTGTAAAGTTCATAATTATATTTATATAAATAAATACATTATATAATGTTGAGAGATTGAATGGGACACAAATTTCTTATAAAATCTGTTTACGTACACTTCAACCTAAATAAAACTATAATTTATATTGTATTTAATGTTTAAACATTCTACATTTAAATATTTTACCACAACACCATCGCTAAGGATGGTAAATGGGACAAATGATCACCATATATTATTGTTTTAACACAAACCTAACGAGGTCAATACACTGTGTAACAATGCACGTGAGTCAGAACCCAAGTTGTAGTTTTCACTTTCACAAACTGTTGGCGACTCCCGCCTCCCGCCTCCCGCCTCCCGCCTCCCGCCGGCCGCTGCAGTTAAAGTCAATAAAACAAACGTCCACACGTTTCCAGAACACTCGCTGAAGCTATATAAGCGCGCCAGCCGAGCGCTGCGACCAGATCTATTGTAAATATCAACAACTAATACTGCGAGTATGTACAAGTACGCTCTCATAGCGACGGCGCTGGTCGGTCTCACCGCCTGCGAGGAGAGACCTCATAAGACCCAGTATGTTGACCCCTTCGCGATGATCGATCGTCATCTCACGCATTCCCTCGCCTACCACTACCTGTGGCCGTGGAGTCAACTCATCAGGGCCGCGGCGGCTCTGGACGTCGAGGAGAGTATGGAAGACCCACAGATCATCTCTGATGCGGAAAAATATCAAGTGAATCTCAGTGTCCGGAGATTTAAGCCGGAGGAGCTAAAAATTAAAGTCAAGAATCGATACATCATAGTCGAAGGAAAACACAAAGAACAAGATAATGATAAAAAAATTATGGCAAACCACTTTGTGCAACGATTTGTGCTACCACCAGGAACAAAACAAGAAGAGGTTACAGCCGTCTTGAATGAAAAAAACATTTTAACGATTACGGCTCCCAAACACGAAATACCACCTCCACCTCCAGAGAGGGAAGTTCCCATTGAAGTTATGTCGAAGACGGAAAAGACAGAAGAACAGACAGAAAAAATTGAACTCGAAAAACAAACTCCGTCTCCCGTCATAGAGACGTCGGCGACACCTGGAGAACAAGTGGACCTTGAGGCGACGACACATATAGGTAAAATAAGAAAGAAGGAATTGAAAACAACGACGAAAGCGACCAAATATAACGAAGCCACGAAAAGTATCGAAAGTAACGGATTGGATTATGGTGTGATTGAAGGTGAGGAGTGACCAGTTACTGTAACACGATGAGAAAAGACTGATGCGGGCTTTAAAGAGAGCGCTGACTCCGCAGGCTCTCTAGTGATGTGATTCCGTGATTTATTAAAGATAATTGTTTTAGTAATAAATATGTTATTTATTAAAAACGTTGTTTTATTAATACTTAGAACTAAAAAGATAATTATGATTACATGCAAATAATCTGATTGATTCCAACATTTAGCTATTATCATGAAAGTTTTAACTTAAACGAATGTTATATACATTATCAGAACAGCTACAATAAGCACTGTTTATAACGTTTCTACTAAAAACATTTCAAGTATTTAAAGCTTATCTCAGGATACCTTTTTATACTGTTATATAAATTGAGATGTAGGTGATTTTTTGAAGAACAGAAAAGGTTTTGAAAAAGGTGACGACCGCTTCGAATCGACTATAGAATAAACATAATATATTGGAATATTCAAGACTAAAATAAATTACTTCAATTTCTATAACAGATTAGTATTTGTGAAATCTAAAATAGCACCACATTAGAAAGTATGAAAAGACCATCAGGCACTTGAAAAGAATTAATTTTTGTTCATTTTATTTAATAGAAATACCAAAGCTTTCTAATGTTAATAATGTAAAGCGCAGTGTATTGAATATAAAATCGAACTTTATTGACATGTTAGTTCATAGAGTTGACGGTTTACTAAAAACCTTTATATTTAGTAGTTGTATTAAGAACTTTTTATAGCTAGCGTGAAATAGAAGTTTGAACTATGGTTTTAAATTTATTCTTCATTGTTCTAGAAATATAAAAATAATAATATTATTTATAACAAAGGTATTGCTAGTTCGTAAAGTCGAGGATGCCAATTGAAACACAACTGAATGTGTCCCTCAGGAAGAGGAGAAATATCTTCGACAGTCGTTTTGTGAAGATGGATGGTCCCGGAGAGACGCTCCTTACATTTATGAACATCCAGCATCTTGCAACAAACAAGTCGCTCCGAGTGGCCACCGACCACAGCTTGGAATGTAACGTGTGTACCTACACGTACATACATACATACATGTGACGTGTCGCAACTTGAAACAACTTTCGTTACAACTGCAAGTTTGTATTCACTTATGTTTAAATAAAGTACAACAAGAGCACATACACACATGTGTATACATAGCTGTTTGTGTATTTTTTTGTATATATCAATTGTCGCTTAAGTTAAGATATATATCTAGAATATATGAAATACATCTTATTAAAAATTAATGTCTTAAAAAATTACTGATTGACTGAAAAGCCGTTTCGACTAGATATTCTCAGGATACCTGTATCTAATTCTACTAGATTATACATAATACTGTTAAAAATATATATATTGTATTTATATATAGATACATCGGAGCACTTTATTCTAGATTGATTATATATTATTTAAATCGTAAATAAATCTTTCATTTTTAATGTAGGGTGTAGTTCATATTATGTGAGTGTCATCATAACGGGATGCTCTCACTGTTCTTTATTACTTGTAGTTTACACTGGAGACGCATAAAGTTACTCATAGTGGTCTATGTTCATAACTTTATCTGTATCGTCCATTGTTGGGAATTAAATTTTTTTTTTATTTCAAACAAGCTAACAAGCTAAATGATGTATTTCAAAGATTCTGATATTACTTCTGATAGACACACCTTAACATTTCAACGTTTATTTTGAGTCATAAATGATTATAGAGAGGAAAACTATGTATATCTGAATGAGCACATAGTAAAAAATATATCAAAGAACTGGCTGCAACTAAGACAACTTAGTCCACTTACAAGTAGTTAAGTGTCATTTTGATATGATTTGGTACTTTTGCTTATAAAAAGTATACTTAAGTTTTTTTTTTTATTTTATATATTTATAACTGTTATTTATTTTAGCCTTTACATGACAATAACGGATCATAAATCACTCCTTGCCGTTTTCCAAAATGTAATATCTTCCTTTCTTCGTGTAATAGATATTTATTGGTTATCATCTTATAATAACAAAATAACATTATAATGTATTAGATATCAAAATCAAATATTGCAGTTTATTAGTGAGACGAAAAAAAAGATCTACTCGTCATAAGCATATTAACTTACTTGTTTATAATATTTTTATTGCGAAGAATTTATTTGGTTAATTATTATTTTTGTTATTTTTCAATACTCTTTAAGTTTAAAGAATCAAAAGGAATTAAATTTATACATTGATAAATATGTATTTAATATAATTTATCAATATAGACCGGCGTCACCGGACACAGCGAGAGTCCTCGCGAATTATAACGAGTCTTAATGATACAATAAATTATTAAACTAATTAATTTAATATTAGTTATTTACATATATACAGTTTACACATTTATTGAATATCTTTATAATTTATAACAGTATGTACAAACATTCAAACAAACACAACTCGCACTTCAAATCTTACAAGATAATTGTGATATTATTACCTTATTTTGAACAATACAAAGTATATAATATTCTTATAATTGTTACATACGCGAAATTAACGTATTGAATATTTTCACAGACATCCCGAGGGAACATCGTTGTATAGATGTTGTAGTGACAAAATAAATATAACGAGTGAGACAGCTGACCCCGAGGAACAATTAACACCAGCTCGTGTGAAGAAGAACACTCTGATAGCAGACAAGTTATGGGATCACATATCTCTCCTCACCCAGGAAGAATCATATAGTAGTAGGTATTAGTTATAAGTAGGTATTAGTTATAGTTATTTTTAATTATAAATAATATATGTTTAAGTCATTTTCGTAGTTTTCGTGGCATCTGGGACTGGCCGTGAACCGCTCTCTTTATAACTTAATCGTACATATTATTGAAATGTTGTTTTCAAATGATAACGTTTTATAAACACGTCCTCTGTTTTCTGTCTAGAGTCCTGCTACAGAGTAGGAACCGTCAGCGTCATAAATCTTTTTCTTATAAGAGTAGTCGATCTCGTCATATCCTGGCTTATTGAACCCGTAAGGCGGATGATCGTAGTTCCCATACTCGTGGCCATAGTGTCCGTGGCTATCCACCGCTCGTGTTCAAACTCTATGAAATGTTCGTGCGACTTACTCTTCTTTATGTAGTGCACAAACCAGAGCATGAAATGCCAAGCTTTTACAGCAAGTGCGTAGAAAAGGAAGCCATAAATAATTTTCAGAACTATTAATTTTGTAGCGGCGACGTAGAAAAAATGAACTGTGGACAAATTTTATTAAATTAAGAATGTTTAATGATAAATTAGATTAATACAAAAATAACGAAACATGTTGTTACTAAAGATTTTAGAAGTATCTGTCGGACCCTCTCCTATTTTTTGCTTTCCCTACCCGATGTCAGTGATGTGTGAGACCGTGCGATATAATATCAAATATAACATTGTGTTGTGTGTGTTGTGTGTGTTGAGTGAGCAGGTGAGGCGCGTGTTGTGAGACGGCCAACATCCACGCCATCACCAGCATGGCCTTCACGGCCAACACAACGAGCGCTATGCCGACTACTATCTTGATCAGACCGAACTTAGCTGCGAGAATGATCGCGAGATGAGCTGCAACAAACAATCACAAGCTTATTGTTTGTTACTTCAATGAATTCTGTTTGAGGTGTAGCTTCCTCTATAAGTATGTCTGAGTCAGAGTGTTCTGATGGTGATGCTACAACTACATATAACGAGGGATTTGATGACCAACACTTATATGACACTCAAGGACAGATACAAATGATTTAATATATATGTTTCTGAATCTTAATTTGATAAAGGCTAATTACAAGGTTTTCTTTCTATTGATCCAAATCATTTTATAACATTTATTAACTTCTTAGAGGACGTTATTTTAAACTTACAAGTAAAGAAATAGTAAGTTTGACCTGGGGTATTTGATCAATGAATTTCACAAATATATCCGATGTATGTTTGTTGGGAGGGTCGGAGGTTGTAGGAGTGTTACCTCTTAAGGTTAAATTGATTCCTAATATTTTCATCTGGAATTTGCTGAGCATTTAATGATATATCATTTTAATCCGTGGATACTGTCGTAATGACAGAGATGAAGGTAGACTAAATTTAAATTTTATTACAATGTAGCTGAAGATACAATGTTCTGTTTATGGATGTGAGTTTACACTCATAACGAGATTCGATTTGTTGATACGATCGCTTCCTCGTTAAGCGGGACGTGTTCCGCTTTCAGAGAACATTCAATGTTCAAAATATACATTCAGAGTGGAGCCTGTTCGTTAAGGGACGACATAAAAGAACACGATGACGCGCTATACTTAACGTAATTTGAATTATTCATTGAGCCTTTATAAGAAAATTAATCTAATATACTCACTCAATAAGGCGTATTTTCCTTTTCCTCTCGCTTCGATAGCATTTTCTTCCATTTCTAGACAATTACAAGTAGATAATGTCAAAGAAACGAAAAACACTGATAAAATAAAATTCATATTGTTTAAAGCTGCGTGTTAGCACTTCACTGCCGCCGACAAGTCAACTTATAATATAAGTGTGCATATAATATTTATATGTGCTGTAGTCTACGGCTCGTCCGCACCAGTAATGTTGACAACACACGGTCGTACTGAAGACATCACGTCCACCTGATAACCGACACATGATGTGATAATTGATGATAACTGTGTGTAGTGTGGCGGTCGGTGACGGGGAAAGTGTTATGTAATTTTTTTTACAAATTGTGAATATCCGGTGAAAATGAAAAATACTGTGTAACGATTATGAAATCTAGTGAAATTATATTGTGGTATATAAATAAACTTCGTCGAATATCGACGATGCTCAAACAAATTACAAAACTGATTAATTATTTCAAATTCAAGAGAAGAGTAGTAATGTTTAGCTTTAAGTAACTAAAGGTACTTCATCGAATCCAATGAAAACATGATACCTTAATTGATAAAACAACTGAAACGCAGTGTACCGGAGACAGTAGGTTTGAATCCTGCTCGTGAAGATGATTATTTTATTCTATATGTATTTTAAATAAAATTTTCACTTTATATGTAATTTCTAAAATCGAAGTATCCAAGTTCTCTCATGTTATCTATATATGTATGTAATATGAGTAAGTTTTGTTATTCTAATAATTATATTTAACCCTGCTAGTTCTGTTTGGAGATGATCCATTCTGTTGATGGTTTGATTTCTGCTAGTCAATGAATCGAAATCTTATATTTTATTATGTAACGGTTTTAAGTACAAATGAAACTTTAGTAACTAAATATACTTGTTTTGTAATTTATGTTTTCCTCGTGTTTCAAGTAAGTCAAGTGCGACTGATAATTCAATATTTATTCCTTAAGGAATACATATTAATCATTACGTTAATCACGTATGTTATATATGTATAATCAATTATCTTTTTCCTCAATATTCAAGTCACCTGACGCGGGTTTACCGAATATAATATTATACATATATTCATAAAATCCTTTTTGTTCTAAGAAAAGTCTTTCAAGAAAAAAACATTTTATTGTAAAAGTGTTATCCGTAATTGGAACAATTTTTTCACTGGGTACATGAAATTTCTCTCTCAGATCGCAAAAATCACGTTCAGTCTTGACAATAGTTTTTTTGTTCTTGTTGCAACAGGAAGCAGTTTAAAATTTAGGAACATTATCTTCTGCGAAGTGTATAATTATGAGGACACTACAATTGCGTGCATTAGTAATATTAATATATTATGAACAAAAAACAACAAAATGAAAAAAATCTAGTAATAACTCGCTTAGTTTATTTAAAAAACAAATGCATTATATAATATAAAAATTTTTTGGTCCATAAAAAAAATAAGATTCTAAGTAAATCTAAAGAGAAGTAAAACAAGTTCGACAGAATTTAAAAAAAACCTAAATAAGTTATGGTCATCAGTGAATGCAACAAGACGTTAGTTGAACCTCTTAGAACATTATACATATTTATATTGAAAAAAATGTAACATCTAAATTGAAGTAAGCCTTTGAGCCATAAACATAGCTGGTAACCGAACCTGTCATACCTCTTCATTGAAATATAATAATTCGAAACACACTTTTGTTACACAGAAAGCATTCTTGTAATATATCATTCTTAATAAATATTACTTATCAACTAACACGTAACTTTAGCCTACAGGTTTTAAACGTTCAGTAAACGATAAAACGACGACCGTGAGTAACGGTGACTGGCTCTCCTCTCCTGAACGCAATCCCGGATGATCTCGAATGATCCAATCATCTAACACACAGCATCATCTCTATATAAACGTTTTATTTGTCATAGACTTAAAATTCGTTCAGTTAGGGAAGATTCAAATAACATCGACAGTTTAAATTTTTCGATCAATAACTTCAGTGTTTCATGAATGATAGAATTTTCAAATGATAACATATTTTGTTAATATTAATAGAAAGAGATATTAAACATGGATTTTAATGAGAAATCACGACAATAAAAACTTTATTAGGTACAGAGAATTAAAATAAATTAAATTATTATTATAATTGAATGTTAACATTTAGAAACTGAAAATAATAATATATTTAATAACATTTATGGCGGACGTTTATTGTAATCATTTTGAAAGGAAAAAGCTATGTGTTTTGAAATTAAAATATATTCAAACACTAAAGAAAAATTAAATTAGTATAATACAGTCAGTCTGGTCGTTATACAGAGTTGATATTAATATTACGAATATTAATCGCAGAAATTTTGAACCTCTTCTGTATCTCAGCACACAGACATTTTTCATTCAGCGAATTCAGATATTTATTTTCCTATTGTTGTATGTGTATGTAAATGCGTATAGTATTATCTACAAGCTAATAAACCATGTCTTTGGGTGAAACACGAGCAATGACAACTACGTACTAGTGTACTCAAGAGGTATAAATGTTACGTTAGAGTTCTATATTAATTCAAACTCAAACTCAAACAACGATACTTATGTAATGTTTTTATTTAACAGCCAGTCAAAGCTTCCTCCTTCTCTGGCCGGGTATCCTTCATGTAGCTCCTCGTGTCCCGGGGGGTCGTAGCTGTACCCCACCGTGTCGTAGCTCTGTGTCGGGGGGCCGCCGTACACCGGCGCTGGCTTCTCAACTTTCATGTTCATGAACTGTTGCAACAACACTCCTCCGAATGAGAACATCTTTTGAAACAGTAGCATCGTGAGGAACACTGACACCGCTTTGAATATAGCGACCTTTGAGAACACGAACAACAGGATCATAGCTGGAAAATATAACTTTTGTGTTACAGCTTGTGACAACGTGTTCTGTGCTTTGAATAATATAGAAAGTAAAGTATATAATGTAATATTTAAAAATAAAAAATATATATTTTAAAAACGGAAATATAAATATTTTCAAACACGGTAAATCAAAACATGGCCTGAGCTAAAAAATTTCATAAAATAAAAAGGATGGAAACCCGAATTAGAAACTTTACTCTATAAAACAGTTTTCTTCACAGAAACAGTATTAAAAGTATTAAATACAACAAAAAAAAAAAATGTTAACTTAACATTTGAAAGAGATGTTAACAAAACTACCATCAGACTTAAAGTTGACGTGAGACATATAAAAAAATACATATAAGTAACAAAAAAATTTTAGTCGGATATACAAAATATATAATATTTGGAACTTTTAAAATCATTCTAATTCTAGATTACTAGACTAAGAAAATATGCGACACTGCAAGTTATTTGTAGCGCAAATCTAGATTTTTTTTACTTTATTTGTCGAATATTTACTTTATACTATATTGACTTACCGAGTAACTTGAGTGAACTTTTCTTTTTGGTCGCTCTTCCATCTAAAGTCGATAAATCATTGTTTTCCAAACAACAACAACAACACACACACATCAGACACATTACTAACACAATTTTTAACATTATGGAATAAATACAAAACACTTTTTAATATCTTGATTAAACACACTTAATCGTTATCTATTTGAAAATATACTTTAAAATATATCTTAATAATTTTCTAAAGTATTAGTTAGATTGTTTCTACTTCAAAGTTTTAGTTAGTTATTATATGTGAGTCAGTCACGACACTGAAGTCCACCGAGTACTCCTGTAAATAAATACAACATATTTTTAATAGGCATGAATTTATTATTTCGTTAGTGGTGAGGAAAGTTTCATTGTTTTCAATCGTAAAACAAGACTTTCCCTTCGTGTGACCAATTCACTCGTTTTCAACTATTTGTAGTTCTTTGTACTTTGTTCTGGTTCTCCTATTAACGTTTTTGGTATTTAAATTTTTATGCCTTCACAAAATTTCGCCACATTATGAAAGAAAGTCATTTACATTTCAATGTAGAAAGCAAACGTCTGAATTTTTCCCTCAGACGGGAAGCGACCAACGATAGAGGTTTGGTGAAATATTAAATGATGAATTAAACAAAGATTTTTTTAAATTGAATAAAAAATGGAGCGTACTAAACTAAATATGATTGTAACGTTTTACATCATGATTAATACATCTCCAGGTGAAGCTATTACTATAATGTCATCTGATGCAAACTGTTCTCATGACAATGAACTAGTACACCGTTCCTTAATACGAAACACTTATAAATAAAACATCGGTTAGAGTATTCACTAGGTCCAGTCCATATGAATAGGTATATAAAGAGGGGTACAAGTTACTTAGAACAGTGATTGTACTTCATTAATTTTTAAAAACATTTGAAGATCTTTAGCGATACATCATACAAATAAATATTTATAAAAAACCGGGCAGGTTCCTGTTCAACTGTAACAGATCCATTGAAATGCAGATACGAAATAGGTCAGGTTAACTCTAAAATGGATTACTGAAACATGCAAACAATACGTGAAGACATTTCGCATCTCTTTTAAAAGTTTACGATTTCTGTGGCTGGCAACTACTATAAGGTTTATTTTTCTATTTTATTTGTTCTACTTTTATTGATCTATAATATTGTCGGGTCTGCATTTTTATATATATCATATTTAGAATATTTAAGAAACAATCTTAGTACACCACTAGTCACCATTTTATTTTAAAAATATTAGTTAATTTATTGATACCTTCACAGAATTGTTATCGAACAATTTGATCATCAAGAAATTAAGCAAATTCGTTATAATTATGTCATAAACGACAGAAACACAAATTAAACTTAATTTAAAAAGTCTAATAATATATTTATATAATGAAACCGAGAATTTCGACTCAGTTCTAAACGCGAACAAAACGTTATGAAGGTATTTCACCGACAGATGTTTATTACTTCATTAAATTAATTCTGCTACCATTAAACTTGGATTTTATATATATTGTTTAAAAAAATTGGTTAATTTTTGTAAGAATCTGTAGTAGGGTATAATTCTAGGTTATGTATCTTTCGCTCGTAATAGTGTCAATAGTATCAAGTGATATAATAATATTCAACTTTATCTATTAACATTATAAAAAACCTGTTGTAATAAACCATGTGACAGATGTTAGGACGCGTGCTGTGAGCTCTTCCCCTTGACGTACATATGAGGTCAATTTATTTTCTGTTATTTCGCAAACGTCTATTGATGAAAAAACAGATTTTCAACTGTTATAACCAGTACGTATCTTATTAAGATGTATATATATTTCACAGGCACATCACAACATGCGGAGTGAGCAAGCTGTACCTACTTGAAAACAGTTAATTATGAATAATAATGATAGAACATAACAAACTATATGTAAATGGTGAATATGTGTTGTTTGTGAGGACGTTTTAGAATTTGAGACATTCTTTGTGTGGAGATGGAAACAGTGACGTTCTAGCAAAATAAAAAAAAACATCAAGCAGAGTGAAATATAAAATAAATTCAGTGAGAAGATACAAAGTTCTAGTTCTACTTCACAGCGACTCGATCTTTATATTGCTTATAATATCAACATTATAGGAGTGTCTGATAATAAAAAGAAACAAATCAGTAAAGGATTTCAATAAAACAATGATCTGGCAGAAGTTATCCTCCCCGAATAAAAAGGTAAATATATGTAGTACTCATAGTATGGTACCATTTATGAAGCCAATTGCATAATATATCCTAATAAGGTAGACCATACATGAAACTAGAAACGATCTCCTATTGTAAGGAGTATATAAAGTACTCAATACATTCAGTATTACACGGTCACATATTCGAATTTATATTTGATAAATAGTAAAATTAGTATATATCACTCTTAACTGTGTTCTTAATGTAATGAGTGTTGTAACTCACTTTCGTTGTACCGTATCTTCATTTCCCTGAAGGAGTTGTTTGATGCGGTCACGAGTCACCAGGACGGTCTGATTGAGGAATACTTCAACAAGAGTTCCATAAATGGGTTCTTGATCATTTTAATTAAACTAATTAAAAATAAAACAAATTCGTCAATGAAGGCTTCCGTGGCAAATATAATCTGTCTCTATCTCTGTCTGATCACAAATAAAAAGATTATTTTATATAAAAATTAAACTTATCTTTTGTATGAAAAAAAAAAACAATTAAACATTTAATAATTACTAGTTGTAAAAAACATTACCTTAAAAGTCGTTTATATAGAAAATATTTCAGCTCATACTTTCTTCTGATAACTTGCTTCCATTGGTAGTTACGCGGTGTTGCACTATCCCTTACGATAAACCTTTTTGAAATAATATAGATCATAAAAAAAATACTACTCATTTCATTAAACTTATTGAGGGGGCATTTCAATGTTGTTTTTTTTTTTCATTATAATAGAGAGAGTTGTAAAGTGAAGTATTTTATATTCATTTTATTTGTATTTGTCATGACTACTTTTTTCTTAAGTTGAGTTAAGACTACTTCACACCACTCTTCTGTAAAGGAGAAAAAAAGAAAGAACATATTTATTTGGGACCGTACAAAAATGATAAAATATCAGTTATTTCGAAAATAAGAAATAAAACAACAACAAAAAAAAACAATCCAAAAAGACAACTTATAACTATTAAAAAAAAATTAAAAGGAAGAAAAAAATAATTCAGCAATTAATAGGCGTGGACACCTAATGCTCGTTTTCAATTCAATATTATAATTTTGTCAGAAGTTTAAAAATATAAATCATCGTATTTAAATGGAACGAAGCATATAACCATAAAACTCTACACAACGTCGAAATATTATACAACTAGATAACTAGCAATCAAAGAACTTAAAGTTATAATGGACTTAAAATTATCCGAATTGTACCCAATCGTCTGAGCGGTCAAGTTGGGTGACTTCAAGCACACCGGCCGCGGCCTGCCAGCGGCGAGGGTCTGTGTTTAATACTATGTATCAAAGAGACTTGCCAAGTTGGCGCACGACACGAACATGTTTTGGTACCAAAATAAAGAGATAACATTACACATGCAATGTTTTATAAAATTTGATAATAACATGAATCTTTCTCGTTTTAAGGTTATATACTGACCTAATGAGATCTAAAGTTTTCCCGATTAATCATTGAAATGAAATTAATATTTTTCAGATTACTACGCGGGATTATGTAGTTAAAATGAGACGAAACCTCTTAGCATTCAATGGATTCACCTTGCGGGCGCCGGGTCAATAGCGTTGCAGGGAGAGGAGGATAAAATACGCGTAGTACACCCAAAAATATTTTTGTTACATTTCAATATATACTGACCTTACTATAAGTGGTATAAAACTAGAATGTTTAAATCCAAAATCCACATCCATAGCATATGGTTATATTAGCTCTACATTATTTTATTTACAGCTTTTTTCATCAAGTACACCTCTCATTGGAAAATTTTGTTTGAGAAGTTATTTTAGCTTAGTGAAAACAACAAAACTTGCCAAGGGTTCTTGTTACAGTAAGTCTTTTTCTGACATTAACATGGCGTTATTACAACATTAAGTAAGGCAAATAACAATGAAAGTGTATTGTTTAAAGCAAATTATAATTCATGTGTCTTGATCTCCGAAATGAGAAAATATTTATTATTTTTCCAGTCTGTATGTTGTTTTTTTTTTATAAACTATTTTCCCTGCATCATCATTTCCTTCTATTCTTCTGTTTCGGACAGAGCCAACAGCAAATTTTAAAAATACATGAAATATTATATTCATGACACAAACATATAAAAGTGTGAGTTTTGAACCTACGAGTATATTATGTGTGATTGAAAACATGGTAGTTCTTTCTTTATCATTGTTTTATTTTAAACATTTTTTTTTTTTCTAAAATTTAATCTGTTAACATAACGATTATCAAGAATTGAGTTCAGAGGGAGAGGAACAGTTTTTGGTTAAGACCAGTAACTTTAATATGTAGTAATGAGACGGAGGAGACGACGGTGTTATGTTGAAGTTTTTTTTTTTGAAATAAATAAACGGTGGCTATTACAAAAAAAACAAATACTTTATTATTTAGGAGATTCAGCTTAGTCAAAGAAAATAAAAAGAATGATTAAACGAAAAAATATATATTTCTTTTAATAAAACAATTGCAATATTATAAGTACTTCTAAGCGTATATTATGAAAACAATAACTTTATTATATACACATAAAAAAAAATACTAAAAAAATGAAGTTAAATAGTTCCTTTATTCATATAAATAAGCTTAAAAATGTAATTATTAAAATTTAAAACAGTTTTTATAATAATGACTCAAAAATTAAATATACACTGGGTAATAAATAATATCAATTATTAAATATGTACATTCTTACCACTAAAAGTACATTAAAGTAGGTTTAATACTAATAATGAGTCAGGATCACAGCATGCCAACCAAGAATTAAAATTTTGAAGTCCATCTTTCAAAACAACTTTCATTTTGAGCCACTATGTCAAGACCGAGATCCGTGAGCCGAGCTGTATAATCCTCACAGGGCGATAACAATGTTCAGTTGTTAGTCTTGTGATGGTGTTCAGTATTAACAGTTTATTGTATTCCATGGCTCTGTTTCCTATACGGGCCATAGTGACTGTCATAATGAGGGAGGTAGTGGTCATGGTGGTCATGTGGTCATGATAGTCGTGATGGTGATGCTTCTGATCTTTAAGGTAACTCACGAACCAGCTCAGGAAGTAGCCCGCCTTGTGGATCACCAACCAGAATATAAAGGCATAAATTATCTTGAAGATAAAGATCTTCTTGAGGACCAGATCGGCGAAGTAAACTGGAAAACATTCAATAAATTATTATTATTTTGCTCTGAAATAATAATAACCTACATTAAGATATAATTTAATATGTAAATACAACGGAAACTTACTAAATAGAGCAATTTTTTTCTTCTTTTCTCTCGATTCAAGGTCCTCAATGGAGGAGGCACTCGCCGTCACCAGAAATGAAAGAACTAAAACTAAAAGAAAACTCTTCAGAGCCATCTTACGACTTTCCTCTTATGTTTCTGAGATGGTACAATTCCATCCTCACAGTCAAGACTAATATTTGTTTCGTAATTCCTCCTCCTTCTCTTATTTGGCTGTTATCGCTAAACGATAAGAAAGTGTCGACTTTCCTTGTTACCATACCGCGAAGGTGCTAATTAGTGTTACGTTAAACTTGATAATGTTTTGTGGACCCTCGAATATGTTTTTATTATTAGAAATACCTATATTAACACAACTGTTACGTACGCGCTACATATGAAGAAATAAATGAACATCGCTGGGGCGATATCGTTGTATGGATAAAATATATAACGATTGACGCTGCTGACTCCGCGGAACGAACACCAAGCCGTGTGAACCAGAAGATTCCTGATACCACACAAGCTATGGAATGGTATTGCTATACTAACATCGGGGCAATCATTTTAAAAGACAAGCTACTTATTTGTATGCTAAAATGAACCGTAAAGCTAACATCTTTGGTATGAACACGTATAATTGTAAAAAAACGTTAAAGGACTACTTAAAGGAATTGAGTTACAGTGAAACTGAAAAAGTATTGGAAATAATTGCATAAATATTTGAAGACTTATATCTAATTATTTAAACACTACAACTGACTATCACACACACTCACTCACCCACACACACACGAACATACATGCGCGTTATATGAACAAAACTACATTTAAGTACATATATATTACCTATTTGAACTATTCTTAATTTGTAAAATAATGTTACCTTTTACCTTAATGTACTTGATTCCGTTTGTGGAAGAGCGGGGACTCCTAACACAAGATAATTCCATTTCTTAAAAGGAGCTCCCTAGCTGTATCTGTTTGTTTTTAGGTTTAAGTTACAGTAATAAACAAATTTATATTTTATTTTTTTATTTCATGTAGGCTTAGATATAGGTTATAAGTTTTAATATGTAATTTCCATAAGAATCCTACTACTATTATAAAGGCGAAAGTTTGTAAGTATGGATGTATGTATGTTTGTTACTCTTTCACGTAAAAACTACTGTATGGATTTGAATGAAACTTTACCACAATATAATTTATACATCAGAATAACAGATAGGCTATAGCTTATACATCAGAATAACACATAGGCTACAATTTTTGAGGTTTCTAATGTGAGGTCGTAAAAAAACACATTTTTTGCGCTTACATTGCAAACGCTGACTGAATCCTACAAGATAGATCAAAACAATGTACTACAGTATTGTACAACTTAAAAAGGTCTACAAAAGAGTCCGTGATGGTATATGTTTATCTCTTAGGAATAACCCACAATAACCATTTTTTATCCTTTACTTTGTACGAGAAATAATGGCTTATTTACGAAGCGATTTTAAGCAATACAGTATTAACCCTTATCCAATTAAGTATCTTAAATACATTGTGCATTTAATAAAGATCAATATGGCTTTTTACAGCATGTAAATTAAATAAATATTTTCGAAGATATCACAGACTTTAAAATGCAGAGTCATAGCAATTTCGGTAATAAATACCGGCAGCGGTGCCAGGTGAACGGGGCGTGGGGGGAGCGGGGTAGGTGCGGTGGGGAAGAAGTGGCTATACATATATTACTAATGACGAAACTAACGCGGACGAAGTCGCGGGCAAAAACTAGTATACATATAAGTATGTTTCGTAGTTTTCCGGGAACCTCCGGTTGCCACCCTATATAATTCCACATTTTAAATGTGAGATGAAATGTTTTCTTGTCTGTTTTTATTGAGGCCCTCGAGTGTTGAGAGGAAGCTCAAAATTGTAAATTATAATCTGAAGTTGATCTCCTCGTCTCGGATGTGACGTCACGAGTGATACTAAGAGCTCTTTAAAATAAAGAGGGACATTTCATTGCCCGCGGCGAACATAAATAGCTTGTATTAAGATAAGAATATTTTGTGTAAAGCTCGAGTTAACTTTATAAAAACACAAATTACTCTCAAAAGGGAAGTCATAAAAACTGAGAGGTTTGATATATACAACGCAAGTCAGCCATCTAGGATATTTATTGCTACCGTTACATATTAAAATATTCCATGTTAAACATATTAAAACTAAATTGTACTTAAATTTATTAATTGTAAACTGAAGTGTAAATTACAACGACCCTTTAAAACCTATTGTAACGCAAGAGTATATTACAACTATAGAAATGTACATACATATGTGGTGTACTCATTCATATTTAGACGTTGACAACAGTTTGAACATCTATAGCACCAACTGGTGACTCGTAGAAAACACAAAACAAAACATTAATAGATTATATATTTGTAGATAATTTTATAATTTGAGCTTCTGGTATGAAAGGTGTTTATGATAACACTTACTGTTTTATAATAATTACTTACTGAATAAAATATTTTCCAAATATTTTAAATATAGAGAATCTTACCAACTTACAGTTTGGTTTGAGTTTATTTTTACTCTTCATTTTGGCCTATTTTGACATCACTATTAAGGAATTGAAAATAATATGAATTAAATATTATTTTTTATAGCTCTTAAAATGTTTTTTTATTTGTAATTATCTGGTTTTTTTTTTCGGCCGTAAACTAAACTCATATGTTGACGAAGTTGCTTATTCGAATTTTTGTAAGATTTATTTTATTCGAATGTGATCCAAAGAAAACTGTTTTGTCATTTCATTAAAAGATGTTCTCTTTCAGAAATACAGTGTAAACTCCATATAACGTCACTCGATTTAACGACAAACTCTCTAAAGAGTCGAAATCATTTGACTTTGGTTGGTTTAGCTTGTCTACCATACAATGAGACACTCTACTAGCGTCACACCCAGTCTCAATAACGACAACAACTAAGTAATAAAAAGTACCTTTCAAGTTGCTAAAATTAACTCGACTATCGGAATCATGCATACCAAACTTTCTAAGAAATTCGTTCTTCACCAAGATGCCTCTGTCCAAGCAGTACGCTTGTGTAACTCCTTGCCCATAAAGATAAGACGTACACAATCCGTTGCTGTTTTTAAGAGGCTTTTAAAAAACTATTATCTGTCATTGTAAATCGTTGTACTTTTATATATATAAGTATTTTTATGTATTTAAATTTATTTATAAAACATATGTATTATCTTGTTATAGCGTTCGAATAACATTCTTTTTTATGTACATAAGTACTAACACTAGTCTGAAATAAACTTTGTCTTTTTCTAATTGTCTATTTTTCTTCTCTCTATTTAACGACAACTCTCTATAACGCCATAAAATGCAGTCCCTTCAGTGTCGTTATATAGAGTTTACACTGTACTTGATTATTTGCAAATTAAAAGGGTATGAATGTTCTAGTTGATTTTACATGACTTTTACTAACTCAAAAAAATAACGACCATAAAAATATTTATCTACCCTATAAGATCCAAAACCAGGATAGAACATTGCATAAGATTGTATGACGTTAAACTAACACATGAATGCTTTCGTAGTCAAAAAACTCTAAGCATTCTCAAAAAATTAGTTGTGTTAACACTTAGTTAACGGATTGACGCTACGGATGAACAGTCAATACTGTTACTGTGTACTGTCGGTGACAACTCATGACCTATCAGGCCGCTGGATGCTCTTATGATAGACGTTCCAACGTTCACTACCGCGATGTAGAAAACTCACAACGCCATCTGTTAATGGGAGTCTGAATAAAGAGTCTGTATAGTGTGTAAAAAAAATTCTAGGTAGTATCGCTTAGGTCGTACTCAAACTTATTGTGGGCATAACATTTATAAAAAGATTATAAATATGAATCACAAATTTTCCCACTACGTAATAATAATATTTTTTAAATAGTATTAATATTTTTAGTAAAAAACGAATTTTACATGTATTAATCACAAAGTAAACCTTAAGAACTTTAAAAGAAACGCAGGATTACTTTTGTTGATATGACAATAATATAATTAACATAAAAATCTTCTGTTTGAACACATAAATTTATTTTAAAATTGTATGTTTTTAATCCCTGATGACGATGATGAACATGACGGTGAGCGGTCAGCGGTCAGCGGTCAGCGGTCAGCGGTCAGCGGTCAGCGGTGAGCGGTCAGCGGTCAGCGGTGAGCGGTGAGCGGTGAGTGGTGAGTGGTGAGTAACAGTATCCACATTGTACAACAGAGGTTCTTTCTCTCAAGTGACTTGTGACACAGTGACAACTGACAAGTGCTTGACTGTTGGAAGATGGAAATGAAATGTTAGATATTGAACGCACTATCTCAGTATCATCCTATTCACGCCTTTTCTTGAAGATACCCAAATTATAACGTCATGTTGAAATATCTTTTTCATTATTAATTGTCGGATTGTGATGTGGAGATTAATGATTGTATTAGCACTTTTGAAAACGTACTCCATGTAGATAAAAGTAACTTATTATGTGTACAACATTTATTTGAAAATAATAAATCTTCTAACTTAAAATAATGTATCGTTGGCAATGTTTAAATGGTCAAAATTAATTTCTTATTTTGGGAGAGAACATATCAAAATATTCCTGTAAATTAATCCTAGTTTTTCCTCATGATGTCTATATCTTACATATAGTAAGATATACCTCATGTATAGTATACTGAAGGTAGTAGAGCCTAGCTGTGGTCAGTTGATACAGCTCGAACATGGGCTGGCTCGAGCGGAGAAGTACCAAGATCGACGTGAAATACTCTTTAATGTCTACGTTTCGTCCTATGAGTGAGAGCCGGCTGTCCTTTCCCTATTCCCACACTTTCCTGGCCTTTCCCTTTTGCCTCCCCTTCCTATCCTCTTCCCCAATCAAGAGCGTTAACACTGTCCAAGGGAGATGGTGGCTACTGTCGGTTATAACTATTCTCATAAAAAAGTATTATTTTAAATAGTACAAATGCAATGATAATGAGATGAAGAAAAAATTACTGATCAAACCTTCATACAAAACAATATTGACAAAAAGAAAAATATTTTGTTCCTACAACTGTTTAACACTAGA